CATGGCTCAAGTCCCACCCGTCTGACTGCGTCTGGAATCATAGAACACAACACCGAGAGCAGAGTGACAATCCTACGTGCCACACAGCCACAAGTCAGAACTTACCAACGCCGCGGCAATCTCATCTTCCGAAGATCACGAACCAAGCGCTGACCCTGGCGCGGTGATGCGCGGGTTTAGTCCAACTCATCAGAGAAAGGAATTTCAACAAAATAGACGGCGCTGTCATCCAGAGAGCAGATGGCGTCTGCCAGCGAGTCGCTGACAGTCATTCTTGGTTACCCTCTTGGCTCTTGAAGCACGTCGTAATACGTTGCAAAGCGCGCGGGTCTCTAGAAGCCAAGACTCTTGGTTGTCTCCGAGCCCGTTCTTGGCTTTGTGGAATTTTTGGACCCCTCCAAGATCCTACGTGACTGGGTCCAAGATAGCCGACATGGTGCCAACTCTGTCGCCTGTTTTGCAAACCTTCGCCCTCCATGTAGGCTGTAGCTGTCTCGAAAAGCCTCGAGTCCCACTAAGACGTCCGCTAATACGCATACAGAATTCGTACTTGTCGTTCCATTTCATTCTCGCGTCGTCAAAATACCTCATTTCTTTTACTGCAACCCACCGGTTCTCTTCAATGTGGCGCTCGAGGCGTGCCAGGGTCGCCTTTGGTACCCTCACAGGAGTCGGGTCTGTCATTTGAACGTCTATAATGTCACCTCACCATTCCGTTCTACCTCGAGGCCGTTTGACCATCGCGGGTGGGCGCGGCTAGGCGGTCTATTCAACCCCTCACGACTCCATCCTCGTGCGCCTCTTCTGCCCGCCGCTAATCCGCATTCGAGCCACGATGACTGGCTGACGGTGGCGGGGGTCGGCTGCCATGCTTCCGCTAAGCAGACACTCGAAATATAGCACGGCTACTCGGAGGACCGAGATCTTGAGAGGTCCACCCTCTTGCTTACTGGCTCAATAAGCGGGCTTCTGACCAAAGGCAGGTCTCTTTATTTTTGGGAAGCAATCACTTTTCGGTCTGCAGGCCGAAAATACACATGGACGCAAAAACGTGGCAGTCGCGAAAAGACTTGCCAATCTCGTTTGGCTATCTGGAGTCATCTCGTTCCGAGAACTCTTCGGCCTCACCTTTGGTAAACCCCGGAGGACTCTACGAAGGTTCTGCCGTTTATGAGCTCCACCGTCCGTAAGTTCCGACTCAACCGGCCGTTTCTCCCGTTTCTCGGCGCCCTTCTCCCTGCATCCAGAACGTTTCGTTTCCTTGCAACCTCGCAAAAGCGCACTGTTCACCACGGGGACAGTGGCGGACAGGGCCGTTGCTCCACTGATCTCCTCCGTGCCATCACATCACGACAGCACTTTAATTCAGACGCGACTGGAACTCCCTTCTCCTGACGAGATCTTTGATCCAACTCCTCCATGGTATCATGGCAACTCCTTTACAGCTCGACGAACCAACATCGCGAACCTGAAACCTCGTACAGTCACGTCACAATGTTTGGGGATCTGCAATGCCACGCCGGTGACATTTCCAGTGCTACCGACTTTGGGCAGCTCCAGTGTTACAGATTCGGCTAGATTTCTCAGGGGCCATCGAGTAGTAAAATCGCTCTCCGGAATGTAGAATCTGACGGTGCCGGCCACCGGTGCCTATCCAACGGTTCCTTGTGCACGACTCAAGCTCGGAGCAGCCTCGTCCTTGAAGCTGACGACGGGCGCACACAGAGCTCCGTGTCCTGAAGATTCAATACACACTTCCCTCAGGTCTGAACTTTGAATGCGAAATTGTGGGAACAGGGCTGCGGAATCTCCGTTGGGAAATAAGCTTCACGTACCAACACCTGAATCACAAATGTCGCAATCATCATCAGCTTTCGAGGCTTACAGCAACCGCTCTCACGATGGCTTCAGGCACGAAGATTTTCCACATGAGTTCAGTGAAAGTTTCCACATATTGGGACTTGATCAAGGCTCCAATCCATCAACCAGGACTTTGGCTGGCCGGCAAGGGACAAAGACCAACGACATGGTCGGGCCAAGACAAGCACTACCGACAGCCTTGCACGCAATCTAAGCCCCTGAGCCGATCGCAAACATTGGCATGGGATGAAGTCCTCGTGTTCGAAGACGTCTCAAATTTTCCGCGCCGCCCGCAGATTGTCTGATCAGGCATGACTTGTCAGAGACACCAAAGCCAATTCCTCCGGAGTGTCGCGTTGCGGGCGACTGAAAGATGACGAGCTGAGATTCGTTCCCTCGGGGCCTCCAAGCGAGGGGAAACTTCCCGTTTCAAACGGCCACTAAGCCTTAGCCTACGTTTCAGAGCACAGCGCACTGACCACAGCCTTTGCGAATCCCTTCAGGTTCCCAGCTGTCCCTGTTGCTCAACTCTGCTGGTCTCCAGGAATTCATCCCCAGACGACCCAACAAACCCACTTGTACGCGGAGGATCACCCTTTTCGCGAAGCCCTACATTTGGGGTTCGTCCATACTTTCGCCAGTGTGTCGGCGATCAAACCGAGCATCACATCCTTGAATGATAGCAATCAGTACCTCCTGAACTACAGGGACTGAATGCGACTTTGGAAACCCCTAATAGTTCCATCGTGCTGCGCGGTGCCTTTGAAGCGACGAAGGCGGCAGGTCGGAATTGAGTCTGAATCATTGATCTTGATGCCAGCCCCTCGAGACAATCATATTTGGAAAGTCGGCTTGACAAACGAGGCGCAGTCTGCCGAATCAGCTTTTTCTTTGCTGGGGGATCGTTGGACCGTGGTCTTCTTTCTTCCGGCCGGTTGACCCAAGAGAGCGGTACCATGTGTTTGTGACCGTCTGATCGACGTCAAGCATCCAATTCACATTGTCAAATACAGCACTGCCTGCGTTGACAGCAAAGCTTCTGGAAACTGCAGTGTTCTCGACTTATACGAATGAGGTTCAAAACGTGGCCGAGAGACGTGCCGCAATCCTGCATTTCTCACAGTTTTCTGGAACTTTGAATACACCACGGATGGGTATGCAAGTTGTCCAGAGACCGATGTTCCCTCCACAAGAGCTCTCGACGCTACGTGCGGCGCAGATGAGGTCGCGCAGAGTAGCACACCAGTTTTCTGAACCCGAAATTGCACGCCGAAGCGGCTCCGATGGCACTCGGACAGTATTTTCCTCTCCTCTACGTCTTCTGCGTTGCTCGGACTCTTTCCGAGATACATTGTTCTGAATCAGATGCCTGCGATTTCTTAAGAGGGGCTCGCCCATGAGGCCGTCACAACCACCACGCGATTCTGCGGTCCCAACCCCCTCTTCACAGGCACACCAGACGGCTAGTTCATGTCACACAGACAGAAAGTCTTCCCGCTTCTAGCAGCACGCAGGCGGACTAAGGCACAGCCTGCCGTAGCACATCTGCAGATAATCGACAAAGCACTTTCTCCAATTTTCGCAGTCTCTCACGACTATCGCGGCAGTGGACCGCGGCGGCCGCATGGCGTTCTTCGAGCCAATCACCACGTTCATGGTTTTGAGCATGGGCGCTTACGTCGCATGCCAACGTTGGACTACCTACCTGCAATGCTGCATTACTGCAGTGTAGGTATCACGACAGAGCGTCCATCGTTCCCCAGCGCACGCTATTGACCTCGCTTACACCGCCTACAGCCGCGGTCTGCCGAGCTTGCTTGCCATTATCGCGCTAGCGATTGTCAGTCGGAGTCCTCTTCTGTTCCTTTGACCGTTTAGCTTGCTTGGCCTACTTGGCCACGAGGAGGGTCGGGCGTGGAATGCGCTTGTCGCCTACGTTGGACATGATGCGGTGAGGCGACGGTCGTGGTGTTGGCGCTAGCGACGCGGATGTCGGATGTTTGCTCATGATTTTCATAGTCTTGACACTGTTGGAAGCCGAACCGGATGAACAGGAAGGTGGCCAGCATGGCAGTCTGAACCCTGGCCTGGCTCTCACATGATTGATTCTACCTGCACCGGCGAGGCGTACTCCGAGTTGCTTGGACTTGTTGGTCCGCAGTTTAGCAGTGACGGTTGATGGTCACAGAGGCTTCAGGTTTCCTGTCGTGGCTATTGTGGCCGGTCAATGGCCGCGAGGCAGTCTTGATGCGTTTGGCATTCTTGCCTGGCTTTGCATGAGAACTTCCAAATCACCGAGCAAGAGAATGTCCAAGGTACGTCGAGGCCTCGGTCGCCTCATACGTGGTTGATTTTTTGGTAGCGTTTGACGGGCCCAATAGGTGCCGTATGCGGGCCACCATCCCCGGTGATGCGTGTAAGCCACCTCTTTCTCTTGACAGATGAGCTTTACTATGAACCCCGCCATTTATATTTGGCTCGTCGTGGGACTGGCGGGCTTCGAAGGATGAGGTGTGTGTGTGCTGACCGGACTTATTGGCAAAAGGTCAGGGTTGTGAGATGCATAATCCTGTTTACAACACCAAGAGCATGTCTAATCCCATCCAGGGTCCATATTGGCTTTCAGTAGAGAACGCACTTTCCGTTACATCCATCAGGAAGCAATTCGTTACCCTTCTGTCATGCGCAAGATTTCTGAGGGGCGGTAGACAGGTCGCTGCATGCTCGTGCGCTGAAGCCTGTGGGCCCATCCTCTGGCTACACTATATATAGCAGCTTGTCGCCTCCCCACCCAACCAACTATCACTGGATGCTCACATCCACCAATCCCCGATAGTCTAGTGGTGAGGATATCTGCTTGTCACCGGGGAAATCCCACGATTCGCAGGGGACCGGGGTTCAATTCCCCGTCGAGGAGTTTCTTTTGCCTTTTTGCACCATCTTTGGATTTCTTTTTGGCCTTAGATGCTTTCGGATGATTTTTTTGGCTTGCGGACGACCTGATGGCGCGTCGTCGAGGTTGATATGATGCCGCGGATACGCGCGATTCCTCTCAATAAGTGCATCCATGGCAGGTCGAGTGCAAGATGTCTCTAATTAAGCTGATGTTCTTTCAAGTGCAGGGCTGAAGGATAGCCTTTTCACTTTGAGACTGTGCTGTTCGCCCTAAACGTTGCCCACTGCTCATGCATTCGCTGCACTTGTCCAGGCGTGAACTCGTTCCAACAGTTACTACAGATCTCGTCAGTCCACCGCGCAACTTGGCCGACATATCTCCAGGTGACAAGACTTACTCTGCTTGATAGTTCATAAAGTTGTAAAGAGGATCCACGCCCGGCAAACCGGGACACGTATCCTGCCCAACCGTACAATTCCAAGACGGCGTCGCCTGCGCAGGCGTGTCCTCCACAAAATCCGTCCCCGTACACCCTCCCTGGAAAGTATGGGGCAGCCCGAACCAGTGTCCGACCTCGTGGACCGCCATGTACCCGCGGTCGTTCCCCGTAGGCGAGTCCGCGCCGGGGACCGTATTGGCGTCGATCTGGCACCCGTCCAGGATGAACGTCTCGGACCCGGGGAAGGCGTCGGCTTCCGGGTAGAAGCAGCGGCCCAGGGTCGGGTGGATGGCTTGCACGTAGATGTTGAGGGCTTGGTAGGTGCCTTTGCGGAGCGCGGATTTCATGGCGAGTTCGTCGGTTGGGTTTGTGACTGTTGACCAGCTTGCGTTTACTGTGCGCGAGGTGCCGCTTAGGGTCATTGTGATGCCGTATTTGCTGAAGGTGTCGTGAAGGACTTGGAATTGCGCTTCGAGGGTGGCTTGCTGGAGTCTGGTCAGTTCGGCAACCTATCATCAATACATGAGTATGCTCATACACTCAAGAGAGCCGTTTCATTGGGGGCAATTGAATGGAGATAAACCGGAACGGAAATGTTGGCTGCGAGAATGCTGCTCCCGCTGCTCACGTCTCTGCCTGCTAGCGATTTGGCGATTTGCTGATCGCTGGGGTCCGGGGTTCCGCAGAAGAAAGTTAGAGAGTGCAGGGATGCCTGTGCCAGTGAGGCACTCAAGAGCAGAGAAAACAGCATCGCGACGGCTGTAATGCGGTTCCTGCGACGGTAAAGACTGTTTTGAGTCCGGCGAGGGCAGGTTCTCTCAGTGAGTGACGATGTTTATTTTGGAAATCGAATAAAGATTCAACATGGGCTGGTAGGGGATGATGGCACACGCGTAGCCACTTTGCCAAGCTTTTCCAAGACTTCGTATTCTCATTAAGATAGATTGGCGGAGGGTTGATTAGCACCCCATTGCAGGGATTGTTCGTTAGGGAAGGTGATAAGAAACGAATCCGAACCGACTTGCACAATGACGTCGCTTGAGAAACATATTGCGATACGTAGATTTGTTTCTAGACGTTGACGACATGCTGCACCTGACATGGATGCAACATGATTTGGTCACCTTTCCCAGTGTTTATGTGCATTACCACCGAGCGCTCTCAGAGAAAAGCTATTTGTGGCCTCGAAACTCTAACACATTAGCTTCGATGCGGTGCAACGAAGCCGGTCGTTCCGTTCCCTGAACAGAAAGCTAGCCTACGTTCATCACGTAGAGATGATGCATCAGTGGGTTCCTTTTCTGGAATACTCAACCATACATGGCTGTCGAGTCAATGACAAACAAACCGCAGAGGGAACCTTACACAATGCCAATGGCCACTTAGACGTTCTATTCTTGTTTTCATTGACTATATGCAACAAGACGTCGATCCACTTCGGAAAGTAGTAGACGCGCAAGGCAACGGCGACAAGAGCTCTATAATGTAGTTGCTCCCAGATCGCCTCGAGCGGAAAATTTAAGTTCATCTACACAGTAGGTTCATCCTACCATACATTAATTGGCCAAAGGGTTTAAATGAAATGATGGGGAAAGGGCTATAAGACTGGGGATGGGAGATTCAGTGCGTTCTAGAGCCAGATGCAGCGGAGACACGTTGAACTGCCGGGGTTGTGGAGGTCTTAATGTCTTCCGGGAATGAAAACATGTAGGTTGCAGGCGAGATTCTGTCTGCAATGGGGCTCACTCATGTAAATTCGTAAAGACAAGCCAGCTGAAACGTATAAGACAGACGAGAAAAACCTTTAAGTCATGATTATGAAGTGGTTACCGTCCTCTTCTTGTCAGATTGTATGGGTTTCAATTCCCAAGAGCATACACTTGAAATATCCTCACCAACTTCGGACTGCCTTACTTCAGCCAAGAGAAACAACAGTGGACGTAGAAGCTCACAAATGTGTCTTAGAGTGACGCCTCATCTATTCGCTTCGAGGCAGGCTGTGCAAGGATGGGAATCCCTCGGCTTTCGGCAGCCTGCTGCTCATCATCATCATCCAGCCTGGTCTCACTCCTTCTATCTCTCAACCTCGCGAAAACAGCAATTCTAAACCAAGACGATATGGTCACCTGGGATGAAGATATCAACTTCGCGAGCGCTTTGCTTCTGCACAGTTGCCTGACCGTTCTCATTAAAGAACTTCTCAATCTCGTTACGATCGTCATCAGGCTGGCGCCCTTCCGCCGCAAGACTCAACCTGGAATTTCAAACTCTCGCTCCGTTCTCCTAGACGGGTACACCTCAATTCTCTCCAACGACAATGATGGCGACCTCGCCGAGCTGTACTTCACAAACACGGGCCTTCTCCTCCTGAGCGCATCACTTGCCTCCGCCATCGCCATGAACCTCTTCCTGTCCGACATGGTTCTCAACGTCTTCGTCGCCTGTACATTTGGCTTCTGCTTCGTCGTGTCTGTCTTCTCATGCCGTCGAAGCTGGTTGCGGTTTATCCTCGCTCTGCGACGAGCGGGGCGGTTTGTGTGGTCTGATACGCCGTTTGTCAACTTCTTCTCGCTCATTTATGTTGCGGTGGTGTTGAAGAGTTCGACGACTATGAGGCTGAAGGATTATGTGACACTGCGGAGTATCGCCATTATCGAGCTGGTTTTCATGAAGGCGTACATCGCGGCGGCTAGCATGGATCGTCAGATTGAGCTGTTGCGTTCTCTGCACAAGTCCCGGCTTGTGCTTTACCAGCATGGATCTAAGGTATGGTTTCAGTTTCCTCGTTTATCGATATCTTACTATTCTTGAACACTGTTTTCCCGAATCTCATCGTCCAGGCCAACTTAGTTCCCGAGGAGAAACCTTCTTGCTGATCTATTCACTGCAGGCACAAGAGATAGACACTATTGAGCCTCCTCGCCTCGAGAGAAGCTCAATCGTTCCGTTCACCACTGCACAGAGAATTTCGGTCATGCTCATCAAGACAACTGTTGGACACGACTTCGGCTCAGTCAGAGGCTCGAAAGGCCCCGGTAGCATCCCTGTACCCCCTACAGGCTTCTTTACGAATGATAGCGTGGGTTCGGGAGACTGGCGTGTCTATCGGCTACAGGACGATGTAATGCTGGTTGCCGACAACCTGCGTGCTACGTATCCGAAGGAGTGGTGGAAGAGATTGATCAAAAAGATGCACGGTATTTTCCTCAAGCAGTTGAAGAAGGTTCGGGTTGTTTACCTTTTGAGAGTGGGTCAAAAGTTTGTTGGAGACGATTCCTGCAAGAGGGAAGTCTCGCTATGGGTATCGAATGTAAATCTCGTGACTGGTGTTAGCAGCTCTGTTCTAGAGTCTTACACATTTGTTGAACACGGGAGCATTGATGGCGGCAGAGTTCTATAGAGTACAGCTAGTCATAAGAGAAAACTTGGGCTGCGAAGGTTTACGCTGGTTGTGTAAATTGATTAGCTGTGATGTAACTACTAACGCTTCGTCTGGGATTCCGTATTGCAATAACTGAAAGGTGATCAAAATTTGTTTCCTTCTTAGGCTCGAAAAACTGGGTGATCAACAAGTTGTCTATTTCGTCGGGAATGAAGGCCTGTGGCTATGCTCCAAAATTTATGAACTCTAACCAGGTGGTCGTGTCTGAAATAGATTGAGTGGTACACCGGAGTGATCAAAGCCTCAAACACAAAGCCGTCCATACTTTCCGAGCTGTAACTCTCTCGCAATGCAGATCATGTTCCTCGTCAACAGAGCATATAAGAACCCAGTGGAATTCCCGAGCACCGCAGCGGCTAACGTTAACTACCCGCACCACCACTCCGCCTAATCAGACATCAAAATGCAGGTCAACAAGCTTCTCATCGCTGCGGTGCTTGGTTTTGCAACCACTGCTCTGGTATGTCACCAAACCAGCCACATTTCTCTAAATCAGTCCACTAATCTGCGTGTCGGATCGTCAAATAGGCTCAGGAGGGTAAATGCACGGCCAAGGGAGAATGTCAGGAGAACATCAGCGGCGTCCGCTTGTTTTGCTCTTCAGGCAGCTGTGACGGGAAGGAAGGACAGTCTTGCACGAGAAACGGTCCTGGGTCTTCCAATGTGGCCAACTGCCCTAAATGAAGTATCCAGCTAGCATCAGGGTCGCCTTGATTATGTGCCTATAGCGCGCCCACTTGCCGCAGAGTTGCAGGTCGTATCTACGACTCTTATCTGAGGGGGACAAAATAGTTGCGGCAAGATACCCGCTACTTAGGCTCCTTGTGGTGCCTTAATACCATGGTTGAATTGAACAAAGAGTTACAACAGTGAAACCACTCCTTCCGTTATTCATGCGCTTCAAATAACAAGCAGGCGGGAGCTCGGCTGGATGATATGTAACACCATGCTGTTGACACCCTCTCAGTCCTGCCTCCCTACTATTACAAGATAGCACATTCAGGATCTGCGGGTAAACTACCTTTGTTCTATCTTGATTATTGTGACAATGGGGGAAGTCTTGTGCTGGGTGTACTGTACTAATGGAACAAAATGCTTAAGTAGTGTAACATTCTATCATCTCATCAAAACATGCCGATAAACGCAGGATACATGGCCAAAGTAAGACACAAACTTGACGATGGATTTGAAACAACGCGTTTTACCACTCATGTATGTGAGGTCTAGTGAGAGGAAGTCTGAATAGAAAACTAATAGAGAAGGAAAAACATAGACGGGAGTGGCAGCTAGACATCAAATGGTGATAATCTCTTCAGAGAGCGGCAAGACCTTCTTTCCACACGTGTAAAACTCATATTCAGCGTCTTTGGAATGATCCTCCAGCACCGGATTGGACACACTGATAGCTCTTGCTCCTCTAGCAATCATGTCGTCGCGATACTCGCCGATGTACTTCACCACATCGGGACCCTTTCCCCCAGCGTTGTGGATGCTTGTGATGGCGTCGCCCAGCCTCAAGCCATCTGTCAGTGCACAAACACCGGCCTCTCCCCGGACTTTGGGGATTGGATTAGCTTTGACTTCCCTTCAATCCATGATTGCATACTTACATGGCGTCATCGAGTGAGCGGCATCCCCGGCCAGAGTGATCCTGCCAGCAGGCAGTTGATCGACTGTCAATTGCACACTCTGAAGCACAATCCCCGGCTTCTTGTATCTCTCAACAGGCACCTTGTCGACTAACACGCGCAGACTGTCGGGATAATTCTTCGTGTTTTCTTTCGCGAATGCCATTAACTCCTCTCGTGAGGCGGTAACGGTCCAAAATGGCTTCTGTTCTGTGCTCTTGGCAGCTTCCTGGTCGATCCAGTGAAGGATGAAGTAGAAGTACCCCGTCTTCTTATCCGGGCTGATCTTGTTCATGGCGGCGAAAAGGCTTGCTTGCCATCGGTTCTCGGGCGATGAGTCCAAGACGATGTAGGCAGAATGACCCAGTTCAAGCTGATGCTTCATTTCATTAACCTCGAGTTCAATTTCGCCAACTAGCGAGCCCACAGGGAGCGGCGTCATGACATCTTGCCCGCCCAAGATGTGCCGACGCACCAAGCTCCGACTTCCCTCAGCCCCAACAAGGATGTTTCCGGTCTCCGAGCTTCCATCTTCAAAGTGTGCCACCACCTTGTCGTCTTGCTCCTCGAGTCGTACTAGACGTTTATTGAACTGCACCGGCAGATGTTGTAGAAGCCAGTCACGGAGACGCTGACGGTTGGCACGAACAATTTTCCCAGTCTCATCGTCCGTGACACCAACTCGCCACGAGGGCTTGCTGACGTCGTAGAATACGAACTGTGCCGGGATATGGTCGAGAGGGCTCAGATGGTTGGTTTGTTCGATGGGGCCAAGGTCTGCGGGCATCGACGCCGATAGTTCAGCTAGTAGAGGGCCGTGTAAGGCGATGGCCCATCCTTGAGCTCTAGCATCGGCTCTGCTGTCCCTTTCAAAGATGGAGAAAGAGATGTTGTTCTTGCGGAGTATCTGAGCAAGTGTGAGGCCGCTTAGCCCGGCACCGATGATGAGAACATGGGGATTCGACTTGGGCGACATGGTGTTCTTTTGGACGTAGAAGTAATGAATGAGAACGAGTGATGATTTGAATTGGATTGACTGGCTGTCCTTTTCGTTGTCGGCCAAAGATTTATATACATTTTGAAGACTTGTAGTCTGTCTATGAACAAGAAGCAAATCGTACCCTTGTCAGTTGCATCGGCCGCAACGTTGAAGAGGTGTACTCAGTGGATTATTCCCGGTCGGATTCGTTCATGATTCGCGCGATACTGGCGGCCAGCACTCCGTCGGCCCACCTTCATGAAGCAGCTGGAGACACCCGCGTCGCTGATCCATCAGTTTCCGCTTGCCGGGCGCATTGATCAAGTGCAGGGGTCGAAATCATTAAGGTCTTTTGATTCCCCAGCTTTTGATCGCCTTTTTGTTCACGGCAACTCTCAGAGTAGCAGCATTATTACTAAGTGACTATTCCTCTATACACATCAAGGCACAGGGCACACAGCACTTCCACTAACAAACTTGAAGCATCGTTAATAACTCGTACAACTCGGTGTCTTTCCTTGCTTGAAGTCTCTCCTTTCTATTTGCTTCAAACATGTTTCCACAGCGTCATAGGTGGAAAAGACGACAGGCTAATGTGTATAGCGTTGATGGCGCGGCCATCCACAATCTACCAATCTGATCACGTCACAAGACGAGCTTCTGGCATTGTTGCCCTGCATATACTCCATAAGCTCTGCGTATCCCTTGAAGCCACTAAAATGACCTTTAGAGGTTCTGTTGGCTTCGAGTCACGGAACACCTCTCTGCGTTGTATTTTGCCATGCTTTTCAACTTCAAGAAGCACTGTTTCTACGCTTCACCCGTCTAGGTAGTTCTGGCTTAGGAGCTCTGTTGCGACCTGCCATACTTAGGCGTGCAATACCCCTCACCTTGCGACACGCCGTCTCCTCGACAGTTCGGGACGTGCCAGTGTGTTTACTTACTCGATTGCATCATCAATCGCCACATGATAATTAGAACCGGCCAGCGTGGTCTCGCGGAATGACGCGGTAGAATGACTATCAGGTTGGTTTCGAACAGCAAAAACTGGTGTCCGGATTCGCTGAAGCAGGTGGCTAGCCTACCTCCCGTAGCAACTCGTAAATCCTCGAACCGCAGCGGTGACAGGATTGCCTACTATAGTCATTTCTCTACAATCAACCACAAAGTTACAGGTGAACCTACGCCATAGAAATTATAATAGAGATCGGCGGAGGTGACCGCATGTCAAAAGTTCTGCGGTCATCCTTAACCAAGAGACGAAAGGCCAAAAGTCGCATCAAGTCCTCTCGAAAGGAGGATTATCAAGGCTAGACCCCTGATACCCCTAAAAGCGTCCTTCTCTCTATGCCAGAGAGCACAAGCCCCAAGTAACTCCAATCTGATGGAAGAGAGGTCGCAAAAGAATCAGAGCATTCCTTGGCTCTTTAGTGTGATGGCGAGATGCCCCACGGTGTTCAGACTTTCATCAATGTTCATTATCTGCGGACTTCAGCCCGTGTCTCCCACGATGAGAGATATACGGGATTCCCACTAACAGCCTCAATGTGACAAGGCAGAAAGTAACCTGGATCTGGGCAGTCAGTCTAATACCCTAGAATTACCATACGTTTGCAAAGCTCATGGCTGAGGATTTTGTAACGTGGTATTTTGACGCTAGGCACCGCGGTAGATGGATTGAGAGCTTAGGTTATTTAATTAAATCAGGCAGCAAATTGACTCAATATCATGGTTTGACGCCAGCAAAGCTTATTCTCGCCGATCATCTTCCATCGTTGTTGAACCATAGGGGCGGGTTTCCATAACCCCGATTACGGCTCGTAGATACGGATACTTCAAGTCCTTGATAATTAGATTGAACCAAGCCAACCAATTGTTTACTCGATCTCGGAGCCCCTTGACGGAGGCCGCTCATCCTATCAATTGCCAGTCTTAAGTTACAGCTGTATTTCGTCTACGGCACGCGACTCATCTGACGGGAATGCCGCGAAACCTGGCCCTCGTGATTATTCCTCCATGCTCATCAACAAAAGGCCCTGCTTGCAATGACTCGCAAACCAAGGAACTAAGAGAGATCTTCAACCAAAATGCCGTTAAACATTTATCTGGTCGAGTGCCTCCAAGTAAACCAGCCTCTTCTTACTACGCCGTGCTGTAGAAGCAACTTTTCACGTTGATACGGATCTTCCACGGGACAAAATCTTCTATTTCACCATGTTCGACGCGTCATTTCTAAACGAATACCACTACTTTGCTGCTACATTCTCTTTCAATGATGGAGAGTTTCCGGATACAATCGTACGTACTGCTGATCTTACTCGTAACGGCGAGACTTACTCGAGTACAGAGAGATGATGCATCTGACCGACACTTCGATTTTCAGACTACCATGGCGTCTGGCCTGGACACACTGCCTGAGCCGCAAAGCTTGGTCAACGTAGAAACATCTGGTCTGATGAACGTAATGCATACGGCCACGCACCACAGTCTTACTATCAGCAACCTCGCCACCACTTACGATACAGTTGGAGGGACTCACGACATCACTCATCAACTTCCTACCACGCCAGGGGGTGACTTAGACCCAGGGCTAGATTTCTCTTTCGATACATCACCCACAACGTACACCGCGGGTTGGAACGAGAGCATGACTGCTCTGTCTGACGACTGGTTTCACGCTGCTACTAGCGATATTCAACCCAGTCCGAGCGAGACGAACAGCTCCGAACCAACGGACGTCGACGACAGCTGGGTCCCTCAGGACGTTTACCAGATAGGCTTTCAAGATGAAAATGGTGACTGGCGGTGCAGCTACGCTGCATGCCGATCCCTCGCTGTGTTTGAGCGTGCCTGTGACCTTCGGAAGCACCATTCAACACACGCCAAGACTTTCTTCTGTCCGCGCCCCGAATGTGCGTCATCCGGTATTGGATTCGCATACCCCAAGGACTATAGGCGTCATCTTCGTTCTCACAAACCAAGCATTCCATGCCCCTACGCATTATGTGGCAGGCTGTTCAGCCGGTTGGATAACATGGTGAGTTCTCCGCGCCCTTTCAAGCATCCACCCGGAGACATTGTCCTATTCAGCTCCAGTGGCCTCTTCTATGAACTCTTCACTAATGACGATATCAATGCAGAGGAGCCACTTCAGCAAGATGCATTTGCGGAAGAGGAACACTCTATTTGCTCGACCGTGCCGTAACCGGGGCAAGAGTCATGCACACCTGCAGTCCTCTGAGAGTTACCCGCAGTCAAGCCAGGCTTCCCAACCAAACCAAACGGCCGCAGGTGACCTACTATCTCAAGGTCTTGAGCTCGCAACTCCATGCCCGGGTGGCACTATGTAGAAGTGAATACATATAATCATGTGTCATCATAATTCGAACCAGAGAAGACCTTAAACAACATGAAGCTAGGATACGATGTCTCCAGACGCCTGAGCCAAGATCCTTTACTATGGCGATAATCAAGTAGGGATGTTGCAGCCTGGCCTGCAGAAGTATGCCCGCTGGCCTTTCTCTTGAGAGCGGCCTTGAAGTCTAAGCAAGAGAGAACCGGTAGCAATGAATCAACGAAGAGAAGCTGCAATACAATCAGTGCCCAAAACGCTGCTCTAGTTCAATGATAGCTCCAAGCACTAAGCGCAAACACATTTGACTGAGACAAGCAGGGAAATTCTCGCAACTGTGAAGTTCGCAATCAGACGGTATTCCGCAAAGTGTCCCGATTTTGAGTGTTGAGTGGATCTTGTGTGGTGGGATGGCAAACCGTGAAAGATGCATACGAGGAGCCAGGACAAGATGATGATCCGGCCTTCCAAGCCGCCCATCAATCACGTTACTAGGATGACATCCGTTAAGCCTGAGAAAGAGTATGCATTAACTTACATGTTGAGCCAAGAAAAAAGATGTTTGCACATAATACTGAGCATAAGGTAGGTCGGCGGATTTAATTCGGCAGTGTTGCTTTCGGACTGTATAGGAGTGTCCCGACATAGACTCAAGTCTCATGTGCGTTTGTTTGGGGTAAGGTAATGGTGAATTTGATTCAAATAAGCTAAAGTTAAGCTTAAATCGGATTCAATACTTTATGTCATAATTAAGTTCAAAGAAGTCTACTATGACGGGAATTTTGAGTTTCAGGGCCGGGAAGTACTTTAGCGTCTAAGGATGTGCAACTCACTTCTAGATAGTTAACTGCCGATGCATATGTTACTAGTAGCGTCGGCAAGATCGGACAAGAAAGCAGAGGACAGTACTTGACTCTACAGCGTCGATTATTCCTTCAGGAATCTTCATTCTATGGCAATCAACAATGAAGGCGAGTAGGAACCGTTGTGCTATGTGCACTCGTTCCGTCAACTTGATGGCCAGCAAAGCGATCTTGACATGAGTTGATGACAACAATAAGCCAACACACTGTGGATTGATGGGATTGCATACAACGAAACAATGCTTTACTAGAATTGATGTCTTTATTATATAATACGCAAGAACCTTCTCCATGAGAATCATCGAGATTAATGCCGACGCCTCTCCACTTAACAGTAGCCTGCTTGACGCAAAGAGTACCCATCGGGGATAACTTGAATGTTGCCGAAGCTAAGGCCGCAGTTGCTATTAGCGTTGACAGTGTAGCCTGCGCGTCTGGTGGAGTCGTAGATGTTGGCGTAGTAGTTCATTTGCACGCAACCAGTGCCAACAACTGCCTGGTTAATGTTAAGGAGCTCGACCTGGCAACCGGCAGCAGCAGCGAGGCTGACATAGCCTGCAACAAGGCAGATGGCGGCAGTGAACTTCATTGCGGGCTAGTTGTTTCTGGTATCATACGATCAGCTTCATGGACCCGGCAAATTTGATGCACCATCGGCGCTGCTCACCTTTGGTTTGAAAAATTGTCTCTAGCGAAGTGGCATGGAAAGCTGCTTGGGCGATGGACATTTCTAATGTTGATACTGGAGCCTGCGTCTTCTTGTAGTTTTTCCGTGGGGGCAAATACCTGGATATTGATCAAACATACTCATGTCGCTAGACTGTCGTCAACTCCTTGACGCCAAGGACATGAAGGCTCGCTGATGGGCCCAGCAAGGAGCCTAGATTAATGATGGCTTCTCAGGCTATTCTCACCCAACCAAAATCACTTTTGCATATTGCAACAGTAGACCTAGTCGAGCGCACGAATCATTCAATTTTGCGGCTATAATATCACCCGAGAAGGGGGGGGGGGGGAGGCGGCCAACTCGGATACAAGAGGACCCCGCGAGCTCCGGAAGTATTACACTGTTATCCCAATCTCTTCCTCTGCCACGTACGCAACCGTATGAACAGAGATCGTGACGGCGATATCGGCTATGACGGCAAATTCCCGCCGAAAGATCGCAGTCGTACACCCTTGACTGATGCATGGGACTTGTCAATGGGCGTGGACATCAGTTGAGCAGACAATGTTAAAGTCATTTATCGCAGGTGTGTGAAAGGTCAATCTACTATATGTAAGTCTCATGGGTCCTCAATGTAGACCACATGCTCGGCTACAGGGAATTGCCTCTTACCTTACCTTGTACGAGGACCTCGTTTGGAGGTGAACTAGGGTTGAAAAGTGGAATTTAAACTTTAGATACAAATGCATTACAATCCTAGTGGAAAGCATTGCCGGAATTGGGTAGAAAAGTACGCCATGAAAATTGTAACAATTTTGTCGATTACTGCTCCAGTAGCCATTGTCCGCTTGTACTGCAAACTCATTGACTTTATATGCTAGCGCTAACTATGACCCCGTGCCCGTACGGATGGGCTGCTCAGCTAACTCATTCTCCTGGAGGTACAGTGGGGTGCCACTGTACTCCGTACGATAGGTAGACCATGACACAGGCGGGTCATTATGAAATGCCCCTGAAATTGCAGCCCTGACTCCTGCTGGACGCTGAGCCCCTGTTAGGCGGCCTGGTAACGAGTCAGGGCTAATTTTGAGTGATGCGGACCAGCCCAGAGTCAAAATGCTTGTAAGTACGCGGTAATCAGCCCAAGAAAGCCAAGGTTAGGGCTCTCAGTGTGGAAAGCCTTAGGCTAGGGCTGAGCGCTTCAGGACGAAAGATTGCGATTGGTGGTCTGATCCAACTTGAAAGACGTGTTGCTGGAAGATCGTCTGAATACTCTTCAATTTCTACAGATAGCAATGAGCCGCAACTAACTCCATTCTCAGCAGGAGGCTCAGAACGCCGAAGACCAATCCGTCTGGTGCATATCTGCTCAGCGCGGGCATGTTCCGAAGTTCCATCGCAAGTCATCATATACAGTAGCTGGATCTGGGTCTGTTCCACAACATACAGGAGTTGGCAATCAAACTTACTTTCAGGTAATACGATACATTCTATCCGTACGGAGTGCTCCGTACTTATGGAGCCGTTCAGTGCCACAACCTGCCGGTAACCGGGCTTCCGGCTTTACGGTTGCGAAAAACGCATGCTGCACTGGCATGACACGAAGCTCCATCCGGGCCGCTACTTCCGCTTGGCTTAAGAACCCTCGGAACTGCCCCGCCGGCACTAGCCTCCCCTTTTTAGCCTCATTCAGAAGACGAGAATGAAGCTGTCGAGGACGGTGCACTGTATCACTCATTACTGTCTCCAACTTGTGTAGTTGTTGAAATCTCATCTTCGGTCCGCATTTGGCGGCGGGCTGGCTACCAGCCTAGCTATAGGGTTCTGTGCGTAGAATAACAAGCCCGCTCATGTGAATGCTTGTCTTAGATCGGCACTATGGAGACTGGTGAAGTGAAAACTGATAGCTTGACCATGCGCGTATGGAGAATACGCTTCTCGTTCCCGTGCTCTCTTTGCCAAGCTTTCCTGCGTCGTCCGAGGTGACATGGCTTGCGTTGGTGTAAGTCATCCCCCGCGTGAGGCATCATGGTTTGAGAACGCGGATCCGATCATGTCTCGGTAGCTTGTTGCTTGGAGGGCTTAATAACAAATTCGACAAAAGAGGGAGCCCGCACCTCAGGCAGTTTCGACTGTCTGGGAAAAGGATCGAAGAGACACGAAGGCATCGATAACTTTTTCTATTTTGAAAACGAATGTAAACGGGCGTCAGATTCGGCGCCATTGCGTGTGACCAACCACCCAACAGGCAGACAAATACGTGGTCTGGGCAGTCTCAACTTACACGAAGACAGATCTTCTGGAGTAGAAGAATGAGTTTCCAATAGTTGTTCGTCAATGATAAACAACAGTTGAGGCCATAGGTCTTAGTAGAGATTTGCAGTGTCTTTAGAGGCCGCCAATGCACATATCTCGCTGGAGACTTTGATCCGGTGACTGAAGCCTGCCTTGTGCCAACTGTTGTGGCTGCATCAGTGCATAGTGCTTACTGCAACAGTCGCTACCGAACGATGCATGGTGCGCTAGAATGCTCCAGCCCAACGTTGTGCAGTTGACTGATTTCTTAGTTACCAAAACAAGACTTTGGGGGAAGCCATCCATTGGCCAAACCATCTCGAATTGAGGTGGTGATATGCAGGCTGCGAAGGATCGCTGCTAGCTGCATGAGAGGGCATGCAAAGTGTATCTACCCCCTCTTTACCGAAGGGCAGCCTGCCTCGTTGTCGTGATTGATCACAGCATGCCGCATACAATACCCTGTGCTGCTTGAGGCCAGCCAAGCGATCAACTATTTCTCCTTGCTGTCGCCTAAGCTCTCGGGTCTTTTCTTGATCACGCAATTCCACCGGCCAGACCTTGTCCGAATTCTTTCAAGATGGAGAGTCCAGTTGATAAACCAAGATACCAGTATCGAGACCTTGACTGGACCGCAAAGGAGATCCGCGTAGTCGAGCTTCTGCCCGGTACTTTCCAAGAGAGAATCCGCATCAAGTTTCACCATGTCGCTCTAGCACCGCGGCGGCCTTCCGCAATCAGATTGCCCCCAAGTCGCGATGAGATCCAAAAGACCCTTCCATCAGACTGGATCGTCCGGGTCTGTCTCGATGGTCGCTTCATATTCGAGCGCATCAAGGATTACAAACCAGAAGAGCCCTACGAGACATCCTGGCTGCACCCCGTGACGGGCGTCGACCCAAACGTGAGCTTCGACGATAATAAGCTCGAGTATGAAGGTCTATCGTACGTCTGGGCCCCTGAAGGCAGCGAAGAAGATGCTCTCGTCCTAGAACCAACAGCCCCGTCCACGGGCGCGGCCTCGTCGA